AGCAGCTTCTTGTCAGTCGCTCCACTCATGGATTCAGCCCTGCAAGTTGCACTGACCAGGGCACTGCCCCGTGGCAAGAGTTATACCTGGATTGTCCCTGGAAATCACCTAATGTCAATGTGCAGCTGCAAGAACAGAGCTGATAAAAAGAGGGAAAAAATAAAGGAAACCAAACAATGCATTGCACTTTCCCATAAAGGAAAAGCAGCACATTAACAATGCTAAAAGCAGGAGGTTACACACATTTCTTCTGTAATAGCCACTGAATCTTCCAGAGGAACACTCCACTTGACAATGTTATTTGAGGGCAGAGACCTTACTATAAAATTCAAGAGCTCCTACTTCAGTTGACTTGATACTTAAATCAGCTCAAAACACTTTTTCACGTAGTCAATATTAAACTCAAAATTGAAATCAAAGTCCAGTAACACTCATCTTTAAAGAATGCATCCATCACTCTACTTACCTGCTAATCTAACAGCATTGCCCCACGCTAACAACCCTGTCATACCCAACGTTGCCAAACTCAACATTCCCACAACTTGGAAGGTTTTCAAATTACAAGCAGCAAGAGCTCTAAAGCTTTGATACACAAACTGTAAGATGCAGCCCAGGACAGAGCCAGGAACAGTTACAGTTAATCTAGGGTAAACAGTTAAAAGTCTATGGTTAATGAGGGTTCTTGCCACTGCTCTCATTTCTCATAATGAAACCCACCACCACCCCTGACCATAACACTTGGGATAAAACAAAATCACCACCACAGCAACGAACAATGTTCACAGGCATCAAACTGGCTCTAGCACTGGCAGGTGTACAATCTCATCATGAGTAACAGGACGGGAAATAAAAATTTCTTCTTAAAATCCTTTCTTCTACAAGTCACTCAAGCCTTCATGCCAGTTCTTCCAGAATCACAACCTGAATTTCCCCTAGGTGAATCCTTTTCCTTCTAAGTTATAATGCAGTATTTTCATACCATGTATAAACTCTCTTCTGTCGTCATCTTTGCATCTAGAAGTTGGAAAACATTTTTGCAACTTAAACAAACCACTCAATGCAGTAACATTCCCTTCAGGAGAACCTTCCAGCTTCCTAATTACTTTATGGCTCTTCTCTGCACTTTTCCTTTATATGAAAATCATTACCACAGTCTTTTCTGAAGACCCTGTAATCCAGATGGAGAACCAGTCTGGCAGCAAGGATACCATGCCAAATACAACCCTACAGAAGAACCATATGCAAAGTGTGAGTGTTCACTGATGCTGTATTTCATTTCCTAGGTTTCTCCTTCCTTCAGATGCACAATTCCTCACACACGTATATGACCTTGGGAGTTTTTGGTGGTGGTTTTTTTTTTTTCCTTCAGCAAATGCAACAATTACAGAGTCACTCTGCCAGCCAGAGTATCAAAGCGTGATCTATGGAAATCTGATAATCATGCTGCAACCCCTTGGAGAGGATCAACGCCAACTTCCCTCTATATGGAGCATATATGGAGTGTGCGGAGCTGCCACTCCTGCATCCCGTTAGCTTGGGCAAAGAGCCACAACCATCGCGGTCGTTTCCAAACTGCCCCTGGGCCACCACGAGTGACGTGGAGGGTCCCTCTGCAGAGCCTCCCGCGCCGTCTCCTCCTGTAATRTCTGCTGTCCGCAGGAAGCACAAACCTGCATTTTGTTTAAACGACTTCAACACATCAGCAAAAAGCATGAATTAGTTCACTTGGCAAAGAGTAGTGACTCTGACATAACTCAGTACAGCTACAGTAATATTGTGAAGACGGGCAAAATCTGGAAAACGTGTTCCAAGCTTCTTTATACAGAGGACCAGTCCATCAGTCCCTCTTGGTAGCTGTTATATAAAACCACAGTCCGTAGCATTTAAGACATGTTAACCCATAGCGGATATTATTACATACAGAATACCAACCACTGCAGAAATAAAGTGTGGCTTTCCTTTCAAATTTTCAATGCCAGAGGTTACATTAAAATGATCTTTGATTTATAAAGAATAAATGAATTCTAACATCACTTTAAYACACTGCTCATCCTACTACAAACTCATAACTTTGTATGGTTTTGTTTGTAATTTTTTTTTAAATAATCTTGCTAATAGGATACCTCCAGCTATCTGACAGGCTATTTCCTATTTTGAATTCCTCGCATAGTTCGGCAGAAATGGCTGAAAAACATCCCTCACAAGTGTCATTTGCGAGGCCTTGGCCTGTTATCAGATGGGGCCCAACTGCCTGTTTCTTTAGGGCTTCCAGCCTCCTCCTCCTCTACAAACRCGGCCCCATGTATCCAGCCAACACCAGTGCCTTACTGCAAGCCACGCTTGCCACGGATGACAACACAGTTTGGGCTGGTCTCTGTAAGTGAAATAAAGCTGTCCTCATCACACTAAAATCCAGTTTAGTGGCGGTTCTTACTAATTACGTTTTGGCTCTCTTGCCTTCGGAGTGAAACGAGCGCCGGAGAGAAAGAAACTGGGGTCGCCATCCTGGGAAACAACTTTCCCAACTCCATCCCTAGGCCGAGGCCTCCTCGATTTCATCTCTAACTGGAAAACACGGAGCCAACGTTGACTCAACACGGACAAAACGCGCGGCCRAGACCTCGTCGCTCCGGACAGGGCCCCGTAACGCGGCTCCTCTCCGAACGGGACGAGCRAAGGGCCCCGGCGTGAGGGCCCGCGCGAGGACACGGGCCCCGCTGGCTCCCCSAGGCCACGGGAACCCGAATTCGGTGCCTGGCCGCGGGCTGAGGGCGCGCGGGCCGCGGCGCTTCCTCCTCGGGCAGCGCCGCGGGGCCGAGGCCGCTGCGGAGCCGCCTGCTCGGGCGGCCCAGGCCCGGCGGCGCCTCCCGCGCCACGGGGGCTGCCAGGAGGCCGAGCAAAGCCGCGCCCGCAGCCCAAACTTTCCCCTTTCCCTCATTTTTCCCCCCACCTTCCCTCCCAAACAGCCTCCCCCGGCCCCGCCGCCGGGGCCCCCCGCCGCCCGCTTCCCCCCCAGCGCCCACCTCGAAGAGCTCGGCCGTGGTGGCCATGGCCGCGGGGAGGCGGCGGGCTCCTCAGCGGCCCCGCGC